TTTCTAATGTGGTTTTTAACGAGGCATGAGTATGATATAGTAATGACAATGGGGAAAAGTTGCAAAATAATTGCTTAAATGGACAAACCCCAAAATCCCGAAGATTATGTAGTTTGCGCCCTGAAGGCTTATGGTTGTACTCTTTTTCCCTTAACTAAGTTTTTCCCACAGGGTTTTCTTAAGTTAAGGTTTTTAATGAGGCGACCAAATACAATATATGTTTTTACATATATCATGTACTCTTTTCTTCAACTAGGTTTTTCCCACGTGGTTTTCCTAGTGAAGTTTTTAATGAGGCATGAATGTATGCTATCCATATACCTTGTACTCTTTTCTTGTTTAGGTTTTTCCCACAGGATTTTCCTAGCAAGTTTTTAATGAGGCAAGATCGTGGTGTTATAATGTCCAAGGGGGAGTATTATAAATCTTTATTTATGGACATTATTATGGCATTGATTACTTGATTTGTAACTGTTATAACAGTCATTTTGTATAGATTATATATATGATGTATAAGGATATAATAAGTGATGATGAATAAGATATTCCTCTTTTCTCTCTTTTCTCTCCATTATGTTTTTATTTTAACAACAATCACTATATTGAACATGCATGTCAATTTTTTTAAAATGAAAAATAGTCAAATTTACTCTCTAAATTAAATAAATAGTGTAATTGAGCTTCTTATGTAGTAAAAAAGAAAAAAAGATGCATTCAAACTCCTTCGGACAAAGAAGTTCAATTATATTTTAATGTAACTTGCTTAGCTGGTTAATGTTTATGTAGTTGACATGCATCTTTTTTATTTTTCAAAAATAAAAACAAAAAGTTGTTTTCTTAAAAACATTTTTGTTTATTTTTTCAATGTCTAAATTTTAACTTTAAACAGTCGGTTACTAGCTCTATTACATTGTAGTATCTGTTCATATACTTTCTCAACCTACTGAAACACAAAGAGCTAATAAGGCCTCCACACTGAGGCTCGAACTCACAATCTTCCAAATGGAAGTCCAATCCGAGTACCATTGGACCACATAGTCCTGGTACCATGGTTGTTTAATTTGATTAAATAGTCATAGTTGTCATCTACTTCAAAAATCTAGTCACCACCTTCGTTTTAATTAGATTCACTGAGAAGAGGGATAGAGGGTCTAAAACAAAAGCGGTCACCGCCTTTGTTTTAGACCTTCATCTCCCTATGAAACAAGGGTGGTAGCCATGGTCATCGCCTTAATTTTAGTTGGTCCAAATTTTAAAGACAACCATAATTGTCTTAAAAAATTATTTTAGATGACTATGGCCACTCCCCCGAATCACTGTCTCACAAGTCACACCCCACGTTCCATACAAACAATGGGCTAGGACCAGGGGCCCCATCAAGTAGTGAGACTGTGCGAGAATTATATTCAAGTTAAGATTATCAAGTTGTACGCGTGGGTAGTGACTAGTGAGCAATATTATAAGAGTAATTCTAAATGTGATCTCATTTTTTATTCCTTATGATGTGATATTCTTTGATTCTTTAGTACACGAAGAGTCATGATTTTTATCAATTATTTTTTTTCTCTCCAATAAAATTTGAACAATTTGAGTAAATTTTTGGAGTACAAGAGTATTTTTTTATATTATAATGCATGATGTATAAATACCTCCAAAGAGGTTGGATTATGTCATCTGTGGACAAGTGCACACTGCACGTACACCACATACTTCATAATCGACTTATCTTGTATTATCTTATTAATTTATATTTATATTAGTCCATTCCATATGGAATTTTTCATATTCAACATTTTTGAATTTTGGTACTATTATTTTGGACTTCTACTATACAAACTTTCAAATTCTACTTCCTTGCTTGTACTCTTTGAGATAACAAACAATGATTGGTTAATTATGTGAGTCCGCAGAAAAGTGTCTACATCAAAAACATGTTAAAGAAAGTAAAAATTGAGAGTATAAAATAAGAGTACACTAAGTATTTTTCATTATTTTGTTCCGCATCTTGAGTGGTCAAATCATGATGTTAGTACTAGGTAGTGATCGTAAAGATCCATGCAATTCAAAGGGACATATTACTATATACATTTGTGCACGCAAACAAGGAAATTAGTACACGATAATAGTATACTAGATTACTAAATTGTGCTCCAAAAAAAAAACAAACAAATACGTATTTCTTTTGTCCCAAAATGGAGTAAACCATCCTTTACACGTTTTGGTTCTATCCAGGTAAGAAAGAATACAAAAAAATATAACCTTAGTTTCTTTTCTAAATTATTCACAACTAATCACATCAATATTAAAGTTACAACATTCACGATTTACCTCAACAATGACTCTCGAAATAAAGTATTATGAACTTAAGATAAATCCAACCTAACTGATATCACCTAAATTTTAAATAAAAAGTGATAGAGATCTCATTTAAAATAAATTTTTTTCCTACCATAGTTTCCTTGGGGCCCAATGAGTAAATGACGTGTACGTCATGATTTTGGTGGAAACTTGGAAAAAGTATTTTTCTTAGAAAATTGCCATAAATTGGCCTGTAGCGTGTGATTGGGTAATTTTAACTTTTTATTAATGAATGTCACTGACATTGTTAGAATGTAGTATCTGTTCATAACTATTTTCTCAACCTATTAAAGCACAAAGAATGAATACTCTACTGAAGCTTGAATCCACAACCTCCCATATGGGAATGCGACCTTGATAATTTTAAAATATTATTTTGATTGAATTTTATTAATGATTTGTGTTGGGTTTAAACTTTTTGATATCATTATATATATATACACTCAAAATGATTATTGATAAAAAAAAAAAAACAAACAAACATTGATGACGCTGTATGTGTATTGATAAAAAAATGGTTTATGCTGTAAATGCTTCTGCAGTAGCCTCTCGTGCACATACGAGCTGAGCTTTCTTCCTTCTTCCATAGGCTATATAGGGGCTATAGATGAACTCCAAATAATCAAATGTAAATGTGAGGAAACAGTTCATCATAGCTGTGTTTACTTTCTGGTTCAACATCTTATGCAATTGAAGAATTTGTAGCTCTAAATTGTTTCATGCTTTTATTATGTCATGTTTACTTACTTAAAACAAAAAGTGGCCAAATCTTATATTATATTGTTCATGACATGCTCAAAGAAACATTTAAAATAATTAAAAGATGAGCCATCTTCTTCTAGTGCCTCTCTGCTTTTTCCTTTCAGCTCTTTAGCTTTCATCCTTGGGGGATTGATAGTTGGGTGATCCATAAGGACTGTGATTGCTGTTTCTATTTCTTTGGCATTTACTTTTTCTGGGAGTATTTCAAATTCTCCCATGAAGTAATATCTGTAATCCATCTTAACCTCAACTCCTATACCTATCTCCTCTACCAATTGGAACGCATTTGCTTGTTGCTCTGTGTATATTGGCCATGTTGCTATTGGCACCCCGAACCAGATACTTTCGAGAGTCGAATTCCATCCGCAGTGTGACACGAAACCACCCACAGCTGGGTGAGCTAGCACTGCAGCTTGGGGTGCCCATCCGATGACTTTTCCGATGCTTTTAGTTTTCTCTAAGAATCTTTCCGGCAAGGCCTCTTCTGGATCGTTGTAGTCAGTGGGAAATATTGAACCGTGAGAGGGTGGGCGCCTTAAGGACCAGAGGAACCTGTGCCCGCTTTGCTCGAGGGCGTAAGCAATCTCCTTCACTTGAGGCTCGGGGAAACTTCCGCAGCTCCCAAAGCAAAGAAACACAACTGATGAATCTGGGTGGCCATCAAGCCATTTCAGGATTTCCTTCTCGGACGATTCTTGGATTGAATTGCCTTTCAAGTTGACTATTGGTCCGATAGGGTACACGGGCGGGACACTCGCGTTCTTGGAGAGAGATTCAAGGGCATGCGGCTCTAGCTCCAAGAACGTGTTCACCAAGATGCCTTTTGCCTTTCGCATTCGTTTGGCAATATCCAGGAAATAGCCTGAGCCGCCGGTTTTGTCCAGCGCGAATAAAGGCAATAGCTTGGCCGGGAATGGTTTGGAATAAGTAGAGAGGTTGAGATGAGGGTCGGAATCTTTAAACTCCGTCACGTCCACACCGTGGTCGTCTCTGAGGCTCTGGAGATGGAGTTGAAGGCCGAGCATAGCAGCACCGGAAGTGTAGTACACATAGGTGGGGAGCCCAAACTCGTCAGCCACATCCATCATGACCATACAGGTCCAGTCCATAACAAACCCACCAAACCGAACACCATTATTCTTCATCTCATTCACGCAGTCTCTGACGTTAGGCTTGTGAGATTCGACGAAGAAAGTGAAGGAGGTGAAGCCGTTCTTGGAAGCTGGTGCAGGGAGGCCCTCCTCCGGCAGTGATATGAACTTCAGCCTGGAGCAGTGGTTATTGGCAAGCAGAGATTCGACGTGAGAATTAAGATGGGAATCTAGAGGCAATTTCATGAGCAAGACAGTAATGGAGAGCTGATGTCGTGTTTGTAGGAGGCGCTTTGCCATTTCGACATCGGAAATAAGGTGACCCATTATAGGGGCTGGAATCAGAACGAGATCCATAGCTTCTTCATTCATCATCGTCATCAATGGAGGTGAGATAAGTCAAAATTATGCCGCAGTAGTGAGTAGTGGCACTATATAATTAAGGTAGGACAACCTTGTGTTATGTTTAGCATTTCTATTGAGCCATTGAGTCATTATAATTCAAAAATGAGAAAAAGTCTATTGAGTTACTATAATTTAAAAATGAGAGAAAGTCTATTACAGCTGTTCAATATACTTTTTCTATTATAGTTATAATCCAAAGAGTTTATACTTTATCATAGAAGTTTGATTCTGTCACCTTTCATCAATTAAATTTATGTCATATAAATAAAAATTTGTTAATTCAGTGACCATTTATTTAAAATAATAACAGATATATCATCAAACTGTATTACTTGGCTTTAGTTATTCTAATCTTGTTCAATAATTTTCTTGTTTCTCAATCAGTTGTGTTGGCGCCGTGGATTACACAACACCTCCAAAGAAGATTATGACGTCCGTGGACAACTGCACTCCACATACTTCACAACCGACTTCTCTTGTATTATTTTATTGTTTATATTAGTCCACACGGAATCTTTCATATTCAAGATTGTTGAATTTTGATACTATTATTTTGTCCGGCATCTTCAGTGGTCAAACCTTAGCGTTGGCTGTGATATGATATGTTCAGCTGTCACGATAGTGGAACTTTAATTTGTAAATAATGTAAGTAAAATTATTATCCTTATTTTGTAAAATGCTATTATTCGTTTAAATATTTAATTATTTTTTTTTTAAAAAAAAACATGATACAACAACTGCTAGCTGCCTAGGTTGGTCATAACATCCTCAAAGAAACGTCCAAGAGAACTGTAGGAAGAGCCACCCTCAGCTAGTGCCGCTCTGCTCTGTTCTTTAAGTTCCTCGGCCTTCTTCCTTGCGGGATTGGAATTCCGGTCCATAACCATAAGCTTCTTGATTCCCGTTTCTATCACATCCGCACTCACTATTTCTGGAATCTTTGTTCTATCCACGATATCGATTATGTAATCCATCTTGATCTCCACTCCTATCCCCATCTCCCTCACCACCTGAAACGCATTCGCCTGCTGCTCCGAGTAAATTGGCCAAGTCGCCATCGGCACCCCAAACCAGACGCTCTCCAGAGTCGAATTCCATCCACAGTGCGACACGAATCCCCCGACAGCCGGGTGAGCTAACACTGCAGCTTGCGGCGCCCATCCGATGACTTTTCCGATGCTTTTAGTTCTTTCAAGGAATCCTTCCGGCAGAACCTCTCCGGGATTGTTGTAGTCGGTGGGCAAGAATGAGGCTTGAGTCGGTGGCCGCCTCAACGCCCACAGGAACCTCTGCCCGCTCCGCTCAAGTGCGTAAGCGATCTCCTTCACTTGAGGCTCGGGGAAATGACCCGCGCTTCCGAAGCAAAGGAACACAACTGATGAGTCTGGATGGTCACCCAGCCATTCCAGGGTTTTATTCTCCGATTCTTGGTCGTTTTCAGATTTTAGGTTCAATAGGGGTCCGACAGGGTACACAGGTGGGACCTCCCCGGAGAGAGATTAGAGTGCATGCGGCTCTAGCTCGAAGAAGGTGTTGACGATGATGCCTTTCGCCTCTCGCATTCGTTTGGCAACATCCAAGAAAAAGGTTGACCAGCCCGTCTTCTCTCGCGCAACGAACGGCAACAGCTTAACCGGAAAAGGGTTCAGGTAAGCCGAGACAGTCAGGTCCGGATCGGAATCTTTCAACGCCGTCACATCTACGCCGCGGCCATCTCTAAGGCTCTGTAGATGCAGTTGAAGGCCGAGCATGGCTGCACCGGAGGCGTTTAGCACATAGGTGGGTACCCCAAGCTCATCAGCCACATCTGCCATGGCGGAAGAGTAGGCATCCACCACAAACCCGGCTAGCCTTACAGAACCCGATCCGACGATCTCGTGAACGCAGTCTCTGACGAGAGGCTTGTGAGAATCGATGAAGACTCGGAAGAAAGCGCTGTCCATGGCGTTACTATTGTTGAGAGCAGATTGGTCGTTAGGGAGTGGCTTGACCTTCATTCTCGAGTCATCATTGTGGAGTGATTCCAGGTAAGAAGTGACCTTGGTATCGTGAGGAAAGGTGATGGCGAGAAGAGTAACGGAGAGATGGTGTTGTCTGTGTATGAGGAGCTTTGCCATATCAATGGCAGGTCTGATGTGACCCATTCCTGGGAATGGAACGAAAACTAACTCCACTGCGTCTTTCATCTTCACTGCTAGCTACTCCGGAATTGAAGAGATTGAGAGAAACTAGTATAACTACCTCTGATGAGTGGCCGTCATTTTCATAAAGATGTGGCTATTGCCGGACATTCACAACTGTCTGTGAAAGGAAACAACCACTAGGTTCCTTTGAGGTCGGTGGACGATGTATTAATAAAATATTCAATATTTTTAAATAAGTAAAAAATAAAACAAAAATTAAAAAGAATTGACACTATAGGCCGGTCTATAGATGAACTTATAATAAAAGTGTAATAAATGAACTTCATATATAATATTTTATAAAGTTAATTGAAGTGAAATCATATATATCAAACTGAATCTTCTAGTGTTACTCCTGAAACTATAGAACATATATATACTATCTTGTAAAAATTATGAGTATTTATAAAAAAAAAAAATTGAATTGAATTTTCTATTATAATAGTTGTGAATTCAAATCAGTATATATATTTAAATTCAAAATATATTTGAAATTATAATTCATAAATCATAATTGTTTACTACATGCTCAAAGAAACATGAGTAAATACTCAAAATGGTCCCTCGATTATAGCTAAATTCATAAATTGGTTTTCGACTTTCAATTTCAACCAATTAAGTCCTTAACTTTGTAATTTTAACACAATTTAGTCCTCTATCTATTTGACCGTTTGTTGACCGTGATTTTTGAGGATATATTTGTAATTTCATGGTCCATCGTCGGTTTCTTAAGGTTCCGGTTGCATTTCCAGACTGCACTGTTAATTTGAATCTACTGTCGAAAGCAATATACCAAATCCGGTTGCCTTTCTTCATCCTCACTTTTGATTCAATGTAGTTGAGTTCATACCAGAGCGAAGAAGACAATGTGTTTCCGAACCGGTGCAACGTCATCCTGGAGGCCTCCACGTGCTTCGACGAGAGCTGCAGGTTCTTCTGGAGATCATTGATGACGGCGCGGCCGCCGAGGTTGATGCAGAAGTGTTCGAAGACCTGTTTGAAGTTGGGAATGTAGGGTTTCCATATGGGATTGAAGATTTTCAGGCCGATTAGGGTGAAGAGGAAGATGAGCTGCTCCAACACCGGGGAGAACGAGCAAGCCGATTGTGGTTATGTTGGATTTGAGGGCTTCGCTGGCGGTCTTTTGAGAGGTTGATTCAGACTTTCCCTTGCGGATCTTCCTGCTCGTAAACGTAGCGGTAGGCTTTGTAGTCGGTGCCCTTGTGCGTGCGAACCACGTGCATGAGCCGGTAATTGGCCCGACCTGAATCGTGCTTCTTGTTGGACACGAGAATCACGGTCAACAAACGGTCAAATTGATGGAGGACCAAATCGTGTCAAAATTGCAAAGTTAAGGACTTAATTGGTTGAAATTGAAAGTCGATGACCAATTTATGAATTTAGCTATAGTCGAGGGACCATTTTGGGTATTTACTCAAGAAACATTGAAGATAATTAAAAGATGAGTCACCCTCTTGTACTACCATTCTGCTCGACATTGTGACACAGAGCCCTCCAAAGTCCAAAGCAGGGTGAGCTAGCATGGATCAATGACCGAAATGTGTGGTCAAAAGCCTGAAATTCCCAAAGTGTGTCGCGTTTTTTTTTTTTTTTTTTTGACAAAAATATGTAAAACTCCTTTGGGAGTTGCGTTTTTTGTTGTGTCCCGGCATTTTTTTTTTCCGATATTTTCGTAAAACGCAAGAGGTAGTTGCGTTTACGTATTCGTATACGTAAAACGCATTACCTTAATGCGTTTTCTAGGGGATACGGTATAGGCAAAAACGCAACTTACGTTTGCGTCTTACGTATTATACGGAAAACGCAAAAGTAAGTTGCGTTTTTTGGATTTTTTGTACCGGCGACATCGAAGAACGGCGAGGACCACAAATAACTGTTATTCAATCATTTCCCAGTCCATCGTTCAAAATTTTTCGAAAAAAATCCATCGTTTCCTATATAGACTGCCGCGTCCTCTCTTCTCTTCTTGTTATCATAATCAACAATAATGGCGAACCAAACCCAGAACAGAAAGCAGAACAGAAACGCCGGCGGTGCTCCACCGGCACCGAACGCCGTTGTTCAAGACCAAGAAGAGTTCAGGCTCCGGGAGACGGCGACGCTGCTCGGCGGCGGGAATGATAGGCAGGCGACGGCGTTTGACTTAGTGGAGCAAATGCAGTTTTTGTACGTGAGAGTGGTGAAGGCGAAGGAGTTGCCGGCAAACGATCATTCCCCTCACCCTTTTGTGGAAGTGAGGAGGAAGTGCAAGTGGCCTTTTACGTTTACTTACAAAAACGCAATTCATTCTTGCGTTTTTCACATAATTCCGGCGGACTACACCGGTAAATAGTCCGCATTTCGGAGTTGCGTTTTACGTATTTTATAGGATTATACGTAAAACGCATCTCCCAAATGTGTTTTAACATATTCCATACGTCACATAAAAACGCATTTGGCAGATGCGTTTAACGTATAGAATACGAAAAACGCAACTCGCCATTGCGTTTTACGTAAATAATGAAAAAAAAAAAAAATACAGTCGGGACAACAACAAAAACGCAACTGGAAACTGAGTTTACATATTTTTGTCAAAAAAAAAATCAAGACACATTTAAGGAAATTCTCTTGGCCATCTACACATTTCGGTCATTGATCCGAGCTAGCATGGCAACATGCGGTGCCCATCGGTTAATTTTACTCATGCTTTTAATTCTTTTAAAGAATCCTTCCGATTATCGCAATCTCTGACGACGTTAGGCTTTTGAGATTCGATGAAGAAACTGAAGAAGGTGAACTTGTTGGTCCTCTGGCACTGGCAGTGGTATGAACTTCAACCTGGAGAAGTCGTTATCGGCAAGTAAAGATTGGATATATGAATTAATGTTGGAATCAATTGCAGGCATATTCAGGAGCAAGATTGTAAATGGAGAGTTGATGTTGTGTTTGTAGAAGGAGCTTTGCTGTTTCCACAGCAGAAACAAGGTGACCCATTCCAGGAGATGGAATGTAAACCAGTGTAACGTCCTGTTTGGTAAAATAATTAACTTATCAACTTATTTTATACCATTGGACAAGGTCTTTGGTATCAGCTTATCAATTTATTTGATAACTAGTAATTGTCCCGTGCGATGCACGGATAAGAATTATACAATATTACGTTAAGTTATTTTAATATTAACCTAAAGAATATTTTGTAAAGATATTGATTCTTAAAGTTTACGGAGAAGTTTTATGTAAATATACTAAAAGAAGAAGTTAATTAGAAATAAATGTATCCCAAAGTAGTAGACAAAGTAAGGCATGACAAAAGTTAATAAACATTGAAATAAAATTACAAATTATTAAATACTTCGTGGTACACAACATTGGTAGTTGAAGTACAACTCGTTTCACCTTCGTTTGCAATTAAAATTTTTAGACCCTTAGGGTTGCTAACTCTAGACGCAGCAACGTACAATTGACCATGTACAAACACTGGTTTCTTCAACAGCAAACCTACATGAGACAGTGTCTGTCCTTGACTTTTGTTTATGGTCATTGCGTACGACAACATAAGAGGGAATTGTCTTCTTTGGAATTTGAATGGCAATCTTGGATCTGATGGGGTCATTGACATCCTAGGTATTAAAACCATTGTACCAGAGCTGTTACCAGTCACAATTTTTGCTTCCACAACATGGTCCGATAACCTAGTGATGACCAACCTCGTACCATTGCATAAACCAAGCGAGTGGTCTATATTCCTCAATAACATTACAGGGGATCCCACCTTTAGAGTTAATGCATGGTTAGGGATACCAGATGCTCGCAATCCATTTAGAAACTCAGGAGTGTGCACATCTGAAAGGATACCGTTGCTTGAATCAGACTTACAAACTGTGTCGCAACTGAAATAAGTCTTGCTCTCAGCTACATGCAACTGACTCATATACTCATTTATGGCGTTAACAACATCAAGTGTTGGAGCCAATATTGCTCGACTTTCAAGGTAGCTATGGTCACATCCACCATTTTTGAACATTGGGAATGTACTATCTACAATTGTTGCTATATGGTCACCGGTAGATGGCAACAACATTTCCTGTGGGATGTTAACATTTGCATAACCATCATTTGGACCTCCCATTGTTCCATCTCCGATAGATGCAAGCCATTCTGCAAAATCTTCAACTTGTTGTAGATCAACCTCGGGGTCCATTCTATTTAATCGGAGATTCTTTGTTAACCTAAGAACTTTACATGTATCCCAAAGATAAGAAGAATTTATGGTAGCTGATACAATATCTTGCCTTGTACCTTTAGGTATAACAGGCAATATTTGCCTAAAGTCACCCCCAAATACAACAGTCTTGCCACCAAATGTCTTTTCAGCACTAAGCGGATCGTGGAATCGCATCAAATCCCTCATTGTTCTATCTAATGCTTCAAAACAGTGCTTGTGCATCATCGGTGCTTCGTCCCAAATTATTAACTTTGTCTTTACAATTAATTCTGCGAGGTGGCTACCTTGATTGATATTACACGTTGAATCTTCATTTAAAGAAATTGGTATTGCAAATCTGGAGTGAGCAGTTCGTCCTCCAGTTAGAAGTAATGAGGCTATACCACTTGAGGCAACATTGATGACGATATCACCTTTAGATCGCAATTTTGCAGACAAAGCCTTCCAAACAAATGTTTTCCCGGTTCCACCATAACCGTACACAAAAAACAATCCACCGTTGTTCAAGGATACATCTCCCAAGATTGTTTCATATACTATGGTTTGTTCGTCAGTTAATTGTCTTTCCATCATTTGACTCTCTTCATGTAAAGCTTCACGATCATAAGCCAGTTCCTCAAACAACAATCTATTATCAACCAACCATGCATCATCGAAGTTTGGTAATGGCATTTGAGGGTAGTCTTTCAAAGACTTGTTGTACAACTGTAGCAATTTCTCCAATTCAATCAAACATAAATTCTTCTTATCGTCATCTGATAATATCAAGTCTGTCATCCACACAAAAAAAAATGAATAAAACAAATGTTAAATTCATTAGTAAATATATAAAAATAAACTAAAAAAAATGTTAAAAGTCTGAGAGTACAACCTTCTTTCTGTAAGACTCTTCGTCTATTAAACTGTGCATCCTCTGACAGATGTTGCCACACGGCATTCCAAACATTTTCCGGCCTAATAACCAAGTTCGATGTCAAGAGTATGACAAACAATTTCCTCATGGCTTGTGCAGTTGACCAATGACTTGCCTCATTTATTGCATCAATATATTCTTTGTCATCGTCAAGTAGCCCCCGTGCATAACATGCATCTCTAAAACTTGGATACTTTACTCCCTCAAAAGTCATGATATCTTCAAAATTGGTAGGACCCCGAACTACATTCAAGAGACATCGCAAGTAATATATTTCACCGCTACCTGGGGGTACATAAAAATGCGACCAATTGAAAAACCCCGTTTCCTTGGATGCCATTCTCTAATATCTTTCTTCCAGACAAATTTGGTTGGCATGTCAATATATGTCAATCCCTTTGCAACATCAAATCTCTTATTTGCATCGAACCAGCCAGTGAACATACTTTGACCCACAGTAGGACGATTCAAGACGTTGTCTATTCGATCGTCATCCTCGAACACAACTGACTGGCAATTTGGAAGGTGGAAACTTAGTCTCTCAACTGGAGGGGTCCTAAATTGGACATCGAAACTAAGGAGTCGCCATGTAGCCTCGCAAGCAGACACGTATCTGCAATCATAGTACATGCTTATCTCATCTACCACTTCATTTGAATGTTCATCAGTTGTACTCTTGTAGAATTCAGCTGTGGACCCTGTCATTTCCCTTGTTGACATATTTGAACAGGTATTTGATAGACCTCGATTGATTACACCATTCCACGTTTATGTGTGCCCTATACTTGAGAAGCAGATATCTGTTATGTGGTACAACATATCTATTATCTAATTCCCACTCCATTTTTTAAGATAGTTCTACCATCGTCCCGGCGCATGTAAGATTGGGTAGCCGTCTTCATCCCAATTGGAGAGCTCAACAAATCTTTTCGGGAAGTGTTTTGAACATCTTTCCGTTCACCATGCAAGGCGATTTTTGTTCTCGCTGGTCCACAAGGACCGTGTATCATAAATTCTTCAACAACATTGTAGTAATCCTTGTCCACTACTTTGTCGGTATCTCTGCTGAAATAATGGAATCCATGTAGTTTGATGTCGACCTTTGACTATTTCTTTCCAAAAAAAGTAATAGGTGGGCATGTGGTAAACCACGTTTTTGAAACTCAATGGTGTATACAACTGAAATAAAATAAGGTTGACAGGAATTATGTTATGAAAATTAACATATCATAAAAAAACATATTATTCTATCTAAGTATCCAAGGACCGTACCTGCAGTAACTGCACCGAATAATTTGCCAGCTCTCAATTCCTTAACCAAGCAATCCAACTTCATCTTAAATATTCTACAGACAATGTCTGGTCTATCTTCTGCTTTCAAAATTGCGCTTGTCTAGATATCGTTGTATCTCCGGCCACTTTGGATTGCAAGTAAATGTAATGAATAAATTGGGATATCCTTTCTGACGACATATTGCCATTGCATCCTGGTAATTCTGTATCATATATCTTGCACCACCAGTGAAACTCGACGGCAGAATTATTCGTTTACCTTGTTTGTTAGAATCAACTTCTCCTCTTGTCAATGCATCTGACAGTCCTTTGTATGCTTCACACCTTAAAGCTTTCTGATTGTTCCTAATGAAGAATAGCCTACTGGATTCAACCATTGTGTATGCATCAACCAAAAATTGTTGGAAAAGTCGCTTTGCATATAGTAAAGTTGACACTTCACTAAATCTTTCATGTATCCGATATGAAAAATACTCTCGCTGCGATACACGTACCCTTCCCCCACCACGATGGTTTACAGAGAAGTTAAACTGAATGTCCTCCCTATACCCATCCTCGCCATATGGGAACAAAATAGGATACTGCAATGGTAAGTATGCGGGATTCAACTCACTTATCCTTTTTAAACCACCTGATTTACACTCAACCAAAATGTCACGTTCACCTATTGTTGGGTCTAGATCACCGACAATAAGAGCTGCGACTTCTGAAACTGTTGGTAAATTATAAGTTCTTGCATCATTGTTTCGTTTACCAATAAGTCTCATTTTAATCTCTACTCGTGGGTTAGAGTCAATTTCAGATTTAGCCCATCGAAATGATTTCACTAATACATTGTACTTATCTAGAACCTGTTTAATATCTCCAACAATATCAACATGTATATTAGCTCTATCTTCTTCTTTCCTACAGAAAACAAAAACAAAGCTATTAAAAAATACATTGAAACACCTGAATGAGTTCATGCGATTATAAGATTGAATTAGCAAATGCGATTATCACCTGAATGAGTTCATGCGATTATCAATTTCATTTTGAGTGTCATGTATGTAAAGTTGTGCAAACTTTGGCTTATTACCGTCATTTGGTAATAAGCTTCCAATCAAATGAAAGTTTTGACCATTAATCCTATAAATAGGTGGAGCCTTTCCAGTATTTAGAGATTTGTCAACCTTTGCTCCCATAGAAGTAAAACAAAACATGTTATTATATGTCCTGATGTTTTGCAGAAATTCTGTTCTCTTATTCCCGTGACAAAAGAATAAATCAAATATTTTTTTGGGAGGCATCCGTATTTGAGGCAGCTTAATTTTCCCATGTCCACAACACGCCGAATATCTCGTGGCTCCACTCATCAATGCTTTATTCACTCGCTCCTCGTACCAAAATAATGCATTGCAATGTTCACATAAATTTGTTGGTCACCCAAATCTGCATACTCAACTGCAATACAAATTAATTCTTTAGTTGCATATACTGTGTCATGGGACTTCAGTTTAAGTTATCTATTTATGTAACAAAGTATAATCAATTATAGCTCACCAACTATTGAATTAATTATATTTTGTCCAGGATCTAGTACTTCATCAAAGTCTATATTTAG